GATGCCTATGGCATGAGTCTAGCCTAGGACTTGAGGAGAGGAAAAATATTTTCGAACTGGAAGAGCTCACATAGAGTCTCTTGAGAGTGGTGCTTGGATAGGCCACTGATATATGAGAGTGGTGCTCTGGGAGGCCACTGGATTTGGGAGAGTGGTGCTCAGATAGGCCACTGGGTTGGGTGAGTCTCCTCTAAGTCCTTAGCTAGTGTTGGAGCGGGGTATGAGGTCGAGGGTTATTCCCTTAACCAAGTACTCGGGAAGGTGCGTGGATCCTTGCGGATAGTCGGTGGGCGAACTCCACAATTGACTTGGTTAATGCATGCCAAGGTCGTGGTAAGCCCGTACCCAGCTGTGCTATACCTGACGGTGGATCTGGACTTCCAAGTGTGTAAGTGACATCATCCGAGTAAACCCGAGTGAGGATTATATCCTATTTAGCTGTGACCGAGCGGGCGCATTGGGCGTGAAAACGGTTGGGGTGGTTTCGGTAGGATGGAATGTCACTTATACAGCTCTATTGTTATGGAGATCTCCTAGGTGTATGCGTGACGACGCATTAGATGATTGATATGCATGGATATCTGTCATGAGTTGCATGTATTGCATGATTGTCATGATGATGGAGTGTATGGTGTTTGACTTCATGTTTGATGAATGAATGATTGATTGAGATGGAAGGTTACTTAGGGACTTGATTGGGATGCATGTGTAGTATAGATTTTATTCTGTACTTATATGATTGATGTTTGAACTCTAGCTTACCCTTCTGTTTCCATGTGGTGGAACTGCGATGATCATACTTGGTATGGGAGCAGGTCAGGGATAGCTTGGAGTAGAGGTGGCCGCTGCGAGACGAGGAGTTGAGCCTCGTGTTTTGAGTTACCATTTTGGGTAACAATTTTTTGTTTGTGCTTGACCGGCACTAAGGAATATTTTGGGATGACTGTACATATATGGTGCTTTATTTTGTATACAGAAACTTAATTATTTTGATCTTTATATTTATGCATGTATGTATGTGTTATCCATTTTAATATTCTCTGCAATTCCACTAAGTGTAGAGACCATGGCGGGTCGTTACATGTGTGGCGGTTGGAAAGCTCTCATGACATCAAGATTAAACTTTTTCTTTTCTTCACCATTTTTGTTGTGTTTCATGTCTATGTGTAACTAAGTTCTCCCTTGTTGGAGTTTGATGTAACCATACATATTCTTATGTTAATATTCTAAGTTATTAATCTAAGTTATTATTCAGTATTATTGCTCCATCTTCTTTTTTTAATGCATGTTATGGGTTGAATTCCCTTAACTTGATTTTGTGGGTTTAAAGTAATTGAAAAATACTTGTAAACCTTTAAATTAAAGTAGAGTAGCTAATGGTGTTTGCATCTAGGAATAGAGTAAATATTATTAGTCATTCATAAACTCTTGTTCCTAATGTTATTTATTATTCTTTTTGGTGCTTATCTTTGTTGCTTTAATCACCATCTTCATCAAATCTCATGTAAGTTCCATTGTTATGTTCATATTGTTCCCCCTTTTTGTGCACTACATTCATTGCTCTTGCTCCCTACTTGTGCTTTTTATGTGTTTGTCCAAAATTACTTTCCATTCTATTTGCAACCCAACAAAGTGTAGTGACTATTTCCTGTTTATTTAATACCATAAGATATTATTAAAATTCTAATTTTGATAAATAAATAAAAAACAACCCATCACAAAAATTTGGCAAGTAAAACCCATCTTGCCAAATTTTGCTATCGAGTTATCAATATTGAAATTATTAGAAAATATAACATCTTATAGTATTATGTAAATAAATAGTAATTAATCACTACACTTTATTGAGTTACACTTAGAATGGAGAGTAATACTAGATTATTAAGGGGGTCATTTTTCACTTGCTAAATTCTGCGATCCAGTTACTAATATCAATATTTTTGAAAAATATAATATCTTATAGTATTATGTAAACAGTAAATAATCAGTACACTTTTCTGGATTATATATAGAAGGGAGAGTAATCTTGAACTATTAAAGGTGTCACACCCAAAAGCGATGATTTTCCTTGTCCACAAAGACCTCGTGGCATACAACCAAAACAACTCCCGCTAGATAGCTGTCCTGAATCACCCCTGATAGTTTGCAACCTGCCTTCTAGTGTAGTCAAACTTAGGTATGTCAATCATTATGGAACAAGGACTGCACTCGCCTTTTCTTTATTGTTCGTAATCTAGTCTTTTAAAATATCAAAATTTTTAACATGTATTAAAAATATATTTTGACTATCTATTGATTAATGAATATATAAATCTTGAACATATTGTTCAAATTTAATAATATAAATGAGAAAATATAAATATATAAAGGGTTTTATGTAGAGAAATGTCATTTAGGAGAACATGAAATTATAATTAATTGTTTATTAAAAAATTGAAAAAATTATTAATTTTATTTTCTTTATTTAAACCTTGTCATTTATATTTTTTATTATTAATTGTATTAGTTTTTAAAAATTCATATTATCCTTTAAAATCTAATAAAATCTTTTTGAAGTTTATAAATTTTTAAGATACAAATCCATTAAAATTCATATTACAAAATCTTGATTAAAAAAGTCTTTTAAAAAATTCTTAAAAAACATTACATTTCTACAAAATCTTTTGAAATTTTTTCGAAAGTCATTAAATTTCTACAAAAATTTTTAAAATTCACAAGATTTTTTTTACTAAAAAAATTGAAATTTCAATCCAATACACCCCTTAACTCATTTTAATAAATAGTCAAGTCAAATTTTGTTTAACTCATTTTAATAAATGAATCATATTTAAATATTATTTTCAACAAACTTAAACTTAATTTCGGTCAAAGTGAACTTACTTAATTATATTATTAAATGTTATGTATATTATGAAAAAATCTTATCTTAATTCAATAAATATTTTATTTACTGCAATTCAATAAGTACTCTCTTAATTTAATAAGTAACTAGTAAAGTAAGAATTTTGTTAATAAATAAACTTTTATTTATTGTTTATACTTTTTTTACAGGGTTTATTATTTATACATAAAAATGTAATTTTGATTATTATCATTTATCTAATGTTATTTTTTGAGAGTCATATATTTTAAATGAACCAATGTAAGTTTTATTTTTTATTTTTAAAATCACTTTTATTTTTAAAGATTTTGACTTTAATTTTAATTAATATTTACAAATTCAAATTTACATTATATCATGAATTGTTATTCTTTTGGCATGAAGATATTTATTTAATACTAAATTAATGCATAAAATTTTATTTTAAGAAAATTTCAAATAAAAATAAATCATAACAAAGTTAGTGAGTCAAGTCAAAGTTAAAAAAAAAACAATCAAGTCAAATTTTGACTTTAAGTAATTTAATTTATTTTAATAAATGAGTTACATTTAAATAGTATTTTTTTACATACTTGAACTTAATTTCAGTCAAAGTGAATTTATTCATAATATTCTTAAATGTCATCGATATTATGACAAAATCTTGTTTTATATAATTCATTATACATTATTGATTACTTTCTTCGCTTCTTTTTGTAAGACTTAAATTAGAAGTATTATTTAGTAATTTTTATAAAAATAAATATTAAATGTATTTTGTATTAAAAATTTTTACAAAAGGTACTCACAATTAAAATTATTTATGTATTTATTTTAATTCAATAAGTATTTAATTGAATAATCGTGAACTTATATATCAAATAAGTTATTATAGTAAATCTTATTATATTGTTAGTAGGAATTATCAAAAAAAAAATTATTACCACATTATATCATTAGTGTAAAATATTTATTAATTTTGTCAACAACTATTTTATTATTTTTTATTTTCTTTTATAATAACTATCTTTTAAAAAGAAAAACTTTGTCAAACTACTTTTAACATGATTTTTGTAATCAATCACTTTTTTTCATCCAAAATATTTGGAAATCAGATGTTGTATAAAGGATTCTCTTTAACTATTTTTTCTTATTCATTAAAATTACATTAACGATACTAATATTTGAACTTAATAAGACCTTATACATTTTACTGCAACTTTCATCATTAGGTTGTGGTTTCTTTTTAATTTTTATTTTAATTGTTTACTAACATTTTAGTTTATGTATTATAGGATAAAATTTATTTTTATATAAATATTTTTTTCATAAATAATTATATTTAAATATATAAATTTCATTTTAGTTTTATAATAAATAAAACTATTTTTAATTATTGATAATTTTAAAATGTTTTTAAAATAAAAATTAAAGAATGAAATTAAAGAAATAAACAATAAAAAAATTTAATATACATTGAAAAATTATTATATGGTGGTGTCTATGATGTTAGTCAAATTAAATCTGATTGGTAACCAAATCTTATTAGCTTTTGAACCAAAAATATCTATAAGCAAGCACGGTGAAAATAACTTTAAAAAAATTCTGAATAATTAAAAAATATTTGATTTTTTTATAAGAAGGCATAACTTATTAGTAATTCTGGTTAGATCGACTCTTATAAGTTATAAGGAGGGTTGATAAAGGTAAAATGATATTTTCACTTTATAATGGAAACTATTGTATCTAAAAATTAGTTTAACCAAAATATATTATCATTTATAAAATAAAAAAAGTTTTATAAAAAAAAATTATTTTAATTTTTGTAAACATATATTTTCATTTTTTTATATATTCATACTAGAAAAAAAAAAAAAAAAAAGACATTCTATATTTACTAACGTAACGTTGTGAGATGTAAAAGTTACAAAATAATCCTGATACAATTTATTTCGACAGAATATTATTTAAAAATTAATAAAATTAAACTACTGAATTATTTTCTATTCTAAAAAAATTTATACAATTATCGTAATAAATAAAAATAAAATATTTTAAAAATTGTGTGCGAAAAAATAATGAATAATATTATGAATTTTACTGCGTTTTAATCTTCATCCAAGATGCTTAATAGGTCCACTACGTGTTTTACATGAACCGTTGTGGACGAAATCGTTAGTGTACTAAACAAACAAGCGTAACGGCGGCGACAGAGAGGTTTGAACTTAGAACCTAGTGGCCTCAAAACATTCTTTCCAAAGTGCGTTTCTGCAAATTCCAAATTTCCTACAACTGTTCACAGAAAAGGGCGTTTGACAAAAAGCAGTTAATCGGGGAGCGAGATGGAGCTCGAACTGAAAGAGTTGCGGGCCGATCTTCAATCTCTCACCCAATCGCTTCCCGATCCATCTCACCATGCTTTGCTCCGCAAGGTATTTCTTCTTTTCAATTCTCATTCGTTTATTCGATTCTGTTACCATGCATTGCTAGATCCGATTAATACTTGATGAAATTTATACGATGTTTTCGCTTTTATGTTTTTGAAGATTCAATTGCGTGTCGAGGACCTTGCCAATCTTGCAGCGGCTGCACCTGTTCGACGCTCTAAAGTTGAGGTAATTCAATTGCCTATTGGTTTGGGATTGGGACATTTCTGCATTGTATTTGATCAATTTCTGCTGTTATGTTTTATTGATTTTCTTATTACTGTGTTGCCAGGATATGAGTGCTGAGGTTGTAGATAGCAATCCTTATAGTCGACTTATGGCGCTTCAGAGAATGGGTATTGTGGAGAACTATGAAAGAATACGCGATTTCTCCGTTGCCATAGTTGTCTGTATTAATCTCCTTTATCATTCTTTGTTGCTGTATCATAAAATTTGTCACATGCATGCTTTTTTTATTTTACTTATTTAATAATTACTAATGGCATGAATTAGTTAGGCCGAAGAGCGTGTTGAATTCATACTGAAAGGATTGTTGGATGTGATATTCAATTAGGATCACTAGCTAGCTATACTTGGATATAACCTCCTTTAATCCACTTCATACTTACTGAGAGAATACTCGAATTATGCAAATAATTTCTGTGGCCTTGCTGAATTTGTTTATTCAAAGGATAAGAATTTTGATCATGAATATAGACAATGGATGAATCATTTTTTGAAGGATAAGCCAAATAGGTGGTCCTGACTATTTTAAATTTATCTAAAAGTTCCTCTTAATTTTATTTTTTTTTCTTTACGTTGGTTGAAAATGCTGATTTTTGGTCATTCTTGCACGATCACAGGGAATAGGTGGTGTAGGAAGTGTTGCAGCTGAGATGCTAACTAGATGTGGTATAGGTCGACTTTTATTGTATGATTATGACAAAGTGGAGCTTGCAAACATGAATAGGTTGTTCTTTCGTCCAGATCAGGTGAGTTTTCAAATCTTCATTTTCTTGTTTTGATTTTAATTTTTTATATGCTTATCATTTATAGACATTGTTACACCCTTAAACTGAAAGGCTAATCACGAGTGATTTCTAACATAAAGTTATTCTTCTCGACAATTCACGGTTCCCATACCATAATCGCATAAATAATGTTTTAGCTTTCCAGGTTGGTATGACCAAGACTGATGCAGCTGTACAGACTCTTTCAGACATAAACCCTGATGTTGTACTTGAGGTATGTATTTTGCGTTGTTTATAGCCACAGGTTCTTTTCATATATCTATGTTATTAAAATGAATCTTTAAAAACATTTTTGTTGATTGGTGATTCGTTAGCACTCTTT